CAAGACCAAGGCCGACGTCAAGGGTGGAACCATCATTGACTACGAGGGCTCTGTCCGTCTGCTTGAAATCGCCCAGGTTCCCAAGGAGCACGTCAACGAGTTCAAGTCGATCAAGAAGTTCAAGTACTTCAACACCAACAACATCTGGATGAACCTCGCCGCTATCAAGCGCGTTGTTGAGGCCAACGAGCTTGCCATGGAGATCATCCCCAACGGCAAGTCCATTCCTGCCGACAAGAAGGGCGAGGCCGACATCTCCGTTCTCCAGCTCGAGACTGCTGTCGGTGCCGCCATCAAGCACTTCAAGAACGCACACGGTGTCAACGTTCCCCGAAAGCGTTTCTTGCCCGTAAAGACCTGCTCTGACCTGATGCTCGTCAAGTCGGATCTGTACACACTGCAGCACGGCCAGCTGGTGATTGACCCCAACCGATTCGGTCCTGCTCCCTTGATCAAGCTCGGCAGCGACTTCAAGAAGGTTTCCAGCTTCCAGGCCCGCATCCCCTCCATCCCCAAGATTGTCGAGCTTGACCATCTGACCATCACCGGTCCCGTCAACCTTGGCCGTGGTGTCACCCTCAAGGGCACTGTCATCATCGTCGCAACCGAGGGCTCCACCATCGACATTCCCCCTGGTTCCATCCTCGAGAACGTCGTCGTCCAGGGTTCGCTCAGGCTGCTCGAGCACTAGAGTGGTTGTCGACATTTTCTTCACAGTTCTTATAGATTTTTTGAGGATACAGGTCTTCTTTAGCCACTGGTAACGAGGGATGACTGCATTGCAACGTACTTGAGCAAAAGACTCAGGCGGTAATGGGGCGTAATAGTCACGCATGTCCATGATTACGTATCATCATAGACAGAATGCATCTTGAATACAATCCATAATGATCCATTTGTTGTTGCTTGAGTTCACCACACGCCGTGTTTGAAGCTAGTTAGATATGGTTAGTAGTAAGCTAATCTCCAGTATGGAGAAGATCCATGTCAACCCAAAGAATGGACCCATCTGCAGCTTATTACTTCCAAGAAATGGTGCCTGATTGCAGTTGCGGCCTCACGCCATCTCAGCCTTGCGGCCCTACCGCGGTGATGTCAGAATGTCACCAGCCACGCAGCCAACCCAACCCGCGAACAACAACCCCCACCAATCTCCCGGTTCCTGCGCAGTGCAGAGGCGCAGTCGGCCAGTCACCTGTATCTTACATAGCGATGATGCCTGCTGATAGCGGCGAGCAGCACTTGATATAAGCAGCCGTGGCTTCCTGACGCCGTTTTGTCGCGTTCCACACGCCTGCATCCTCGCGTCGCACGCAGCGGGGTTGATCGCAACCTGACGAGCATCAGCTCCGAGCATCGAGCCGAAGATTTGCATGCCTGAGCCCATTAATAGCGATTGCTCCCACATATCGACAGAATGTCACCCGAACCTATGCCACATAACGAGTTCCAGGACGAACGCGCCGCGAACCTAGCGCAAGCGGATGCGGCGCATCGCGAAGCATACGATTTCTGGGGTTACCTTTTCAAGGAAGATAAATGCGGGACCCCGTTGCTGGATCGCCTGTTGAAGGGCATTGCCTACGTCATTGTGAGTTGAGTGTAGCTTTCAGAATTCACCTGGGAGATTACAAGCTAATGCGCCGCGGTAGAGCAGGAAATTCGGATCAAGTGACTCGCCTGATCTTACGCCGTCGCAAATCGCAGCCTGGTATCGCAGTGTTGGGGGCGACTACGACGTACTATTCACAGACACCCCGCCGTCATCGGTCGCATTCATATATCGGTCACTCGGCGCATTCCACAGCCTGCAACCAGCACCAGACGACGACGGCTACTCGAGTCCTACCATACCTGCGCTAAAGAAGGACGGCTTTGTGACATGGCAGACGATACAGTTGCTGCTAGGACCAGAAGAACATGTGCCTTTCCTACAGAAGGCGGTGGAGCTGGATGACATACCCGATCTAGAAATGGGGGGCACCTTCCCCAAAATTCTACCAAAGGAGTGCTTCCCAGAGAAGCCGGATGATGCGATGGAGACGTGGTACCAGAGCGTTGCCGCCAGGCTTAAGAAGGAGGCGGAAGAGGAGTTAAACGGGGGCAGTGCTGCTGAAGAACCAAAACCACGTACTTCGACGGACAGTGAGGGTAATTCAGCCGACGAGAAGTCCGGCGCGTACCGATACTTCGAAGATCCGCTCTATCGGAATGGAAGACCACGACCGACTTTCATGCGCCATGTCTCGAAGCAATCTCCACGACCCGGAGATGACCATGGGAGGCCGGGGGCTATCATCTCAAGGGTGAGGCACATGCTGAATCCTTTGAGTACTAGAATCGCCGGAAAGAGGATTATCCCAGACCGCACCGGGTACGGAAGCGACGGGTACTCAGATGAAGATGCCACACCCATTGCGCCTGTTCCTCAACCAGGTCCCCGATATTCCGCCCACAAGCGTCCACACCCACCGCGACGCGAATCCTCGTTATCAACAACAGACTCCGACTCAGATCCAGATCGTCCGTCTCCCCGACGACAAAATCCTGTACTGCGTACCCACCGATCTCACGAGCCGCCCATATCGCAGCCGGGGTATTTCCCCGCCTACAACGAGGCGCGCCGTTACTCGAACCAACACGATCCAGTTCGAGTGTATGAAGGAACTTCAACAGCAACATCTCCACAACACGTTTATGTACCAACTCAATCTCCACTCTTCGCGACCCAAGTTGCGCAAGCCCAGCGCGAAGCACAAAAACAACAATACTACCTCTCACGACCCGTCATGCCCCCACGCACAAGCTACAGACCCGTCCCATCCAGTAGCGTGCGATGGGGTCCCCAGACCATACACCCTGTAAGTCCACCTCGAGATGCCGAACCACCCTATATCCGTGAGCGCGAACGAGAACGCGATCGCGATAGAGAGCGACACCATCGCGACCGGGACCCATACGCAATGGGAAGCGGTAGCAGCCGCTCCCACCGCCGCCACTCGGAAGACGTCGAATACCCGCGCGAGCGTACCCGCGACCGCGATTCAGCCCGCACACGTAGTCATGATAGAGTCAAAGACGAATGGGACGATCGCCATGATCGGAGTCGAGATAGAGACAGAGACCGCGACCGAGACCGGGACAGAGATAGAGACCGCGATAAGCGTAACTCCAGCTACGAGGACAGAGACAGAGACGACAGTCGGGAAAGAGAACGAGATCGAGACAGAGACCGGGTGCGAGATTCCCGCGTGCATAGGTATGTGTCTGGGGCGCAGGACGGGGTGTCTGGCCGGAAATATCCTGTCGCTTAAGCTTTTTGTTGTGGGATTTCATTTACTAAGATCTTTTGTTGCAGCAGGAGTCAGAGTGTTAGGGGCCAGTTCATGAGGCTGCTTAAGGAATTTTGAGCAACGAAACCTTTTTTCCTTGGGCTTTCGGCTAGGACATTTGGGTTGTTATGGTGTGGTGGGGTTTATGGAGTTGGGTGGATTGGTGGGTTCGATTATGGGGCCTGGATTATCTGTGGCGTAGGGTGGGTCGGATATGCTCAGCTCGCGAAGGGCTTGAGGGATGCAACACTGATGGTGCACGCATGGTGTGACATGAGTAACGGTAATACATAGACGTGGTATCAAATTCAATACATTGTGTGACACACGGTTTAAGGACCCGTGGCTTCACCTGCATATGAGGTGCAGGCTTCACGATTGTTTTTTTTTCTATGCAGGTATTGCAGTAGTCTTCGCTCCGACAAGATGCGGTAAGAACAGAGACACCTATTCAGTTTCTTCTTTGTACAAGGTGGAAGGAAAGTGTTCGGAGATGATGGGGCGGTGTAACAGTTACCCATGGTGCACGGCTCAGGTATGCGAGGAGACCTCGGGAGGTGGTGGAGAGCATTCACGTGCCAGATGTCCGAATTAGAAAACAACCTTGGAAACTAGCGACGTTGCCTGCTATACCATTTTATGGTAGGGATATTATTTATACAAATGGGAACCTGCAGTGACATCATACTCATCAATTTACATACATTGTCTTCGTGTAGCCTACAGAGACCTGCCGAGTTTCTTACTTGTATGGGGTGTAACGGTTGCTCAAGATAGTGCGGAGGCGCGCCAGCGTTTGGCACCAACTAGCTGTGCGGGATGGATGGGTGGGTGGGGGAGGCGGAGGGGAGGCGGAGGGTAGGTGGTGGACTTCGTCATGTACGTGTCGCATAGATGTCTACAGTCAATGGCTATCAACAAGGTGTAACGGTTGCTCGTTATAGTGCGGAGGCGCGCGTTTGGCACGGCCTAAGTGTGCGGGATGGACCCTGAGCTACTGATTAGCCAAATAATGGGAACGCCATGCGAGCCCTGCAGATGGATAGTGTCACGATAGACGGAAGAGTAGACGGGGTTGTTGGAATCGACGCGTGAATGGGTGACGGCAGTAGATTAATGGAAAAACATCGGAATGGTTCTTGTCGCTGATTACGCGTGGATCGCTATGTCATAAGCGTGGCTGTGCAGGGGAGCTCGGGGATCGCCGTGAGGGATGCTAGTCATCACTCGACGCGGAGCTGCTAACCAACACCTCCCACGAGCTCCTGATTGCGAGTAGGACCGCGTGCGATTCAATTCTTCATCAATTTCTCATGAACCTTGACCTATAGTCATTCCTTCGGCCTTTTCTTTGTTTTTTTCTCCCGTTCTCACCGGGAACCAGGAATTACTTCGGCGAGTTAGTGCCAGCCATCCGCGTACAGCTGCAGTATCGCTAAAGCATAGCTGCCGCCGTCTACCAAGGAAAGCTAACCAGCCAAACAACAGGTTTCCAGATCCCCAACACCTCCCAGCCGCTCGCTCTATCTTCCGCACTTACCTCCTGGGGCTCCTCACCCAAGTCTCGCCCTTCTTTCGACCGCGAGCATTCAATTGCACGCCAGACATCTTGCAACTGCAGCGCAACGTCAGCGGGTCGGACCTCCGCTCCACTTCGCCGACGCCGACATGGCTACCGCATCGCGTGAAGCCGAGCTGAAGCAGCAAGGGCTGCTCGACGCCGCCAAAGACCCCAATTCCTCCATCACGGCGAACCAGGCGGAGAAATCCCTCGTTGATCAGGCGCAAGCGGGTGGCAGCGCTGCCTTCCAATTCGACCCCGATGCGAGTCCTGAGCAAAAGCGGGCACAGGCACGGGCGCGCGTCCCCGCAAACTTCCACCACGAGCGCAACAAGAACGCGACGGCCCTCGTATCCGATGCCGACGACAACGGCCCGGGCGAATACGACCTGCCCTCACCTACCAAAGCGGGCGCCATAGAGACACCAGAGGAGGCCAAAGCCAATGGCCACGCGCCCGAACAACTCGACGACGATGCGCGGTGGGATCGGGTCGGATGGGCGCCGCGATTCGGCATGCCAGGTTCCGAGAACAAGGAGGAGGAAGAAGCCTCTCTAGCCGACCACCAGACATGGCTGGAAGGCAGGATAGAGGACAAGTTCTTCGGCGACTGGTACCACAACACGGGCATCATCATCTTCGCATGCTTGAGCTCGTGGGTCGTCGGTATCCTCGGCGGTGGACTGGGCTGGATCATGATCTTTATGGCCGTCTGCGGTACCTACTACCGCACCTCAATCCGTCGCGTGCGCCGCAATGCGCGCGATGACCTCAACCGTGAGATGGCCAAGAACAAGCTGGAGACAGACACTGAGAGCTTGGAGTGGATCAACAGCTTCCTCGTCAAGTTCTGGCCCATTTACGCGCCTGTTCTGTGTGACACCATCGTAGGCACCGTGGACCAGGTTCTCTCAACCTCGACCCCGGCGTTTTTGGACAGTCTGAAGATGAAGACCTTCGTCCTCGGAACGAAGCCCCCGCGACTGGAGCATGTGAAGACCTACCCGAAGACACAGGACGACATTGTTCTTATGGACTGGAAGTTTAGCTTCACGCCCAACGACGTAGCCGATCTTACTGCGAGGCAGATCAAGAACAAGATTAACCCCAAGATCGTCCTGGAGATCCGCATCGGAAAGGGCCTTGTCAGCAAGGGTCTGGATGTTATCGTAGAAGACATGGCCTTTTCCGGTCTGATGCGCCTGAAGTTCAAGCTACAGCTGCCGTTCCCTCACATCGAGAAGGTCGAGATGTCTTTCTTGGAGCGCCCGACCATCGACTACGTCTGCAAGCCCTTGGGTGGAGAGACCTTCGGTTTCGACATCAACTTCATCCCCGGATTGGAGACTTTCATCATGGAGCAGATCCACGCTAACCTGGGCCCGATGATGTACGACCCCAATGTGTTCCCCATTGAGATCGCCAAGATGCTTGCGGGCAACCCTGTCGACCAAGCTATCGGTGTTCTGCAAGTCCACTTCCACGGTGCTCAAGGCCTCAAGAACCCCGACAAGTTCTCTGGTACTCCTGATCCCTATGCCACGGTCTCCATCAACAACCGCAACGTGCTTGCACGTACCAAGACGGTGCACGAGAGTGCCAATCCTCGCTGGAATGAGACTGTCAACATCATCGTAACTTCCCTGAAGGACTCACTTACTATCAATCTCTTCGATTACAACGACATTCGCAAGGACAAGGAGCTCGGTACTGCTACCTTTGCGCTAGAACAGCTAGAGGAGGACCCTGACCACGAGAACATGCAACTAGAGGTCATGTCAGGAGGTCGCGCCCGTGGTCTCGTGACAGCGGATGTACGCTTCTTCCCTGTTCTTGAAGGCACTACGCTGGAAGACGGCACCAAGGAGCCTCCACCAGAATCGCGCACGGGTATTTGCAAGTTCACTGTTGAGCAGGCTAAGGATATGGACGGTAGCAAGAGCATGATCGGGCAGCTCAGCCCATACGCTGTCCTCCTTCTGAATGGCCATGAGATCCACAAGTCGCGAGTCATGAAGAGGACAAACCAACCTATCTGGCCAGACGCGACAAAGGAAATGCTCATCACCGACCGCAAGAAGGCTAAGCTGGGTCTAGTTATCAAGGACGACCGCGACCTCGCAGCTGACCCTATTCTTGGTACTTACCAAATCACGATGGACGACATGCTCGAACTTATGGCCAAGGGTCATGAGTGGTACAACCTCGCAGGTACATCGAGCGGTCGCGTGAAAATGAAGCTTGATTGGAAACCCGTTGCTCTAAAGGGTGCTGTCTCATCCAGTGGTTATCTTACTCCTATCGGTGTGATGCGACTGCACTTCCAGAGCGCACGCGGACTTCGTAACCTTGAAGCCCTGGGCAAGTCGGATCCGTATGTCCGTGTGCTACTCTCTGGTATTGAGAAGGGCCGAACCGTCGTTTTCAAGAACAACCTCGACCCTGACTGGGATGAAGTTATCTATGTCCCTGTTCACACCGTCCGCGAGAAGCTTACACTGGAGGTCATGGACGAGGAGAACCTCGGCAAGGATCGTCCCCTGGGACATATCGAGCTTTCGGCTGGCGACTACATCCAACAAAACGAGAATGGCGAGTACCTCGAACATGAACAGAAGCAGCCTACCGCAGGAGCTCTCCGATTAGCTGGTTCTTCTCAGCCCAAGGGTACTCTCAACTACACCTGCTCCTTCTACCCCACATACCCAACTTGGGACCCCGAAGAGGACGAGGAAGAAGAGGAGGAGACAAAATCCAACGGCGCCGCCCGGCCTGTGTCCAACGGATCTAAGCTCAGCCACCAACGTGTTGTATCCAACGCTTCTACCATCGCCAGGTCGGAGACGGCAGGTACTATCTCATCACTCAAGTCGAACGAGAAGGACATGGCCAAGGAGCTTGAGAAGAATGAACTCCAGCAAGCAGAGTCGATTCCCGAGAAGCCGAAGATCGAGAAGCTGAAGCTTACTGCGGACGACCTGCAGCAGTATGGTAGGTCGCATGCCGACTATGAGGATACAGTGGAGTTTGGCTTGTTCAGTTGGTTCACCCTGACGTGCAACCTGACCCCGTATTCTTATATCATATCTACGAGTCTTGGCTGACGTGATGTAGAATCTGGTCTGCTTGTGTTCAAGCTTGTCGAAGGTGAATTTGCAAGGACTGGTGGCCACGTTGATGTTATTATGGATGACATGGCGTATGCCAGCTATTCTAGCGCGAAGATCCGGAGCAACAAGATGACTTTCAACGATGGTACGTTATGTCGAGGTCTCAGATGATTGATCAAGCTAACGGGATGTAGTTGGCGACACGATGATCCGCGAGCTTGACTTCTCCAAAATCACCCTTCGGATTATCGAGCATATCGATAACGATGGAGATGATCATGGAGATCACGTCATTGCTAAGCTGACAGGAAACACGATTGATACGCTACGAAGGTCTCTGCACACGCCCACTCAATTCACGCTCAAGGACAAGAACGGACGCGACAACAAGATTACGGTCATGCTTAAGTACATTCCCGTTAAGATGCGTCTCGACCCCAGCGAATCCTTCAACAACCAGGGTACGCTCCGAGTCGATGTGCTCGATGCTGCAGATCTTCCAGCTGCGGACCGCAACGGCTTCTCGGATCCGTACTGCAAGTTTATGCTCAACGACAAGGAGGTATACAAGACCAAGACGCAGAAGAAGACGCTCCATCCAGCATGGAACGAGTACTTCGAAGTACCTGTACGGAGTCGAACGGCCGCAGACTTTGTTGTCAATGTGTACGACTGGGACTTCGGTGACAAGGCTGACTTCCTGGGAAAATCATCTATTAATCTGGAAATCCTCGAGCCTTTCCAGCAACAAGAAGTTACGCTTGCCCTCGACGGCAAGTCAGGCGCCATCCGACTTAGAATGTTGTTCAAGCCAGACTACGTCGTTCGGTCTCGTCAAGGCTCCAGTACATTCTCCGGCACCTTTGCTGTCCCCGGCAAAGTCATTGGCGCGCCTGTCAAGGGAGTTGGAAAAGGAGCGGCCTTTGTCGGTGGCAACGTAGTCCGCGCAGGTACCTTCCTAGGTCGTGGTTTCAAGCGCAGAAAGTCTCGCGGTGAAGCCCCCGACGAAGAAGATCTCGCACGCCCCTCCACATCGGACCGTCCCTCTGCCGATACACCCATGATATCCATCGAAGGCGAGCCCAACACCCCCACAAAAGACTCCAACAACCACAACCGCCACCGCAGCTGGGGCGCACAAAGCTTCCACAGCCGCTTCGGCGACAACGCCGGTCCCGGCGGCGCCGAACAAGGCACCGCCAACATCACCGTCCTCTCCGCCGACGGCTTCCCTGCCGGCACCAACCTACGTGTGCACATCTCGCTCGGCAAAAAGGAAATCCACAAGACTGACCACATCAAAGCGCCCCAAGGCTCCGTCCAGTTCGACCCCTCGGAAGAGAGCTTCAAGACGAATTGCACCGCTGACGCCTTCTTCAAACTGGTCGTGAAAGACCACAGTAAATTCGGCCGAGACGAGGAGTTGGGCGAAACCCAATTCACCATCTCAGACCAGGGTAGCGGCGCAGAGCAAAACGTTGGCGTGGGCAAGGGTATGGTGTCGATACGCAGTAGCTTCACGCCTAGTGAGAGCGGAGGTAGTCCGTCTGGTAGCGTGAGTCCGCGACCCAAGACCGCGGAACGAAGGGGGTTACTCAGGAGAGATCGCAGTACGACGCCTAATCCTGGGGCTTAGAAAGCAAGTGCGCTGGGTAGATTGGGCCAGTTGAAAGGGAACGGGTCGAGGGTTAGTTTTGCGAGGAGTGAGATGGTTACTAGTAGGGGGAGGCGCGGGGATACAGATGTTGACGGGGGCAGGGATGCGGAGGGACTAGAGGAGGATAGGATGGGTGTGCTCAGGGAGTGGATTGAGGATGTTGAGAGAGGGAGACGGAGTTTTGCGCTTTGACGCGTTGGCAGAGATAGATTTGGGGTTTGATGAAGGGCGAAAGGCCGCATCGGGTGGGCCAGGGTTATTCTTTTTCTGTTTTTCTTGTCTCTTGACCTAGGTCCTTCTACTCCTACTTCTCTTCCTAGAGTCGGTCTTCTTCTTCGGAGTGTAGTTTCGATACCAATGTTATTTCCTTGTTCTAAGACTTGTCATGTATTGGTCCCTGAAACGAAAGCTAGATGCATCAATCCATATCTATGATCGTTCTCAGCCGGAACAGGGTTTCGTACGGATATAACTTATCTCGTGAATTGTCCTTCACCTCCTCCCCACCAATGCCAAGCATAGTGAAAGACCAACCCTCCAACATCCCTTTACCGAAACCGGAGATAAGGATCGTTACAATGGTCGCAGTGAAGGACTGCGTTTGCGTTTGCTCGGACTTAGCGTGGCGCCGACGCAAGCGATTGCGTGCTCGTCAAGTGAGCAAAAAGGCGCGGGTGACTGCGGGAATGACGTGGAAACAACAAAGTGAAGGAGGGAGTGAGCAAGATAAATAGATGAACAATGCGGCTACCGGCTGGACCCTTTATTTGGTGCTTAGTTGGTGTGTATATAATCTTTCAGTACTGTCAGGAGTATACTTCTTTCTTCCTCTCCACACACGACACCTACGTGCAATCGAGTATACCCTACCTTCTTACAATTCAACTTGATACTTGACTCGATCTTCGGCCTACTTCCACGCCTACCCTCTTCACCATCATGACGGGCCGAAGACCCCCTGCTGTCTTCAACTCCTCCCCTGCGCCAATCGATCAAGACTGGGTAGACGCCGAGCTCATTCCCTTCCTTCAGCGCGTCTACCCGGAAGAGCGTAGAACTACAATGGAATGGAACCGCCAGGTCGTTCTCGGAAGGTCGGACCTGCATCTTCTCGTAAGTAACCCGGACGCCAACTTACTCCCCATCAGTCAGCCCAAGAGCACACATTGTATCCCCGCCAAGCCACACAACGGCGGGGAAATACGTGAAGTGCACCTGGGACACCCAACAGTCACACCGCCATCTCTTAATTACAGGCACTGACGCATACATCCCAGGAACAATACGAAGACTTCCCGCTCACAATCGAATGTCTCCGCCTATGCCTCCTCAACTCAGAACTCTTGACACGAGCGGAAATGTCAAAGTTCATTCCCATTGCCGAGCAAGGTAGCTTTCACTGTCTCCAAATCTTCATCCGCCACGCCATCGTACACGGATCGTACATGCTATACTCTCTAGGAGACGACCCGAGTCCAGAGTTCCCTCGAGCAGGACATACTAGTACTTGGCAGTCAACCGCATCTCCAGCTACACCAGCTGAACCGCGCGCCACTTCCGTTGCGGTCCTTGAGGCGCGTAACGCGACACTGGAGAGGGAACTGGCCAATCTCAATATGAGGATGGATCAGGCTGGACGTGGTCGCGGAGGCGGTCGCGGAAACGGTCGCGGAAGGGGTCGTCCTTCACAGCCTCGTGGTGGTTCGGATCGTGGTGGTCGTTTCGGTCAAGGACCAAATGTTCCTCCAAACATGCAACAGACGCCATCTCAGTTCCCTTCAAACCCACCTCCGGGAATGTATGGCTACCCAAATTATCAGTATGGGTATGGTGGTCCGTACATGGCTGCACCGGCTATGGGTGGCTATCCTATGCAGCCATACCAACAGCAGCCATTCACCAACCCCGGACAGCAGTATGGTGGTGGCTGGACTGGTAGTCAAATGATGTACAGCGCCCACCAAGACTACTCTTCGCAGACTGGAGCAAGCAGCGGTTTTGCGATGCCGCCACAGCAAGTTGGCAACCCGTATCATCAAGGACAACCGACTCAGCGCGGCCGTGGCTCTTCAGGTAGTCAACAAGGCCAAGGCCAGGCGCCGTCTCAAGGTCTTCCAAGACGTCCTCAGCAACCATCTTCAGGATCGGGCGCAAGCACTCACGTGCCTCGCCCTGACGCGGAAGAGTTCTATCCAGGTTCGGATACCCACCAAATCAATTCTACAACGCCCATGTCACTGACTACCTGCAGGATCCGGAAATGGCTACGACTGATTCGGGACGGTTGATTGGAAGTGAGACGATTTTTTCCGGCGAGTGAGATTTCGGGGAGGCCGAGAAGGAGAGAGATAAGGGCAAAAGTTTTGTGAAAATGATGGTCTGCAGATGAGAGTAATTCGCCTCAGTGGATGTCACCACCACCGTTCTCTCGGAAGTAGATACCCATAGCTGTCAAATCAAAAGAAGTTCGTTGGTGCGGTGATCACTCCGCCACGCCTTCCGCCAGTTTTCCGCTAGCAGGTCCGTGCTTGATTGACAGCTTGAGGTTAATATTATCCGCCGCTTCAACACCAACCTCTCCAACTTTCCAACGCCCCATCGCAACCACGCCGCTCAGCCATGCATCTCGCGCGTGATCCATTGCAGAAGGAGGTAACCGTGATGAAACGCTTATACTGATAACCCTACGTCCAAGGCCTTGGCTACCATCCGGGCGGAGATCCTAGATCCATTCAGGCGCGTCGCAATCGTGACTAGGGCTAGAAGGGGAGGTGACAAGACCAAGAGATGGATCCTGGCTTGGCGCGTCCTGCGCGCCCGCATGGGAAGCTTCCCTGAGCGTTATCTTTTCCTGCTTAGCCCTCCTTGGCACGTCTTTTTCGAACGTTCCGCCGCGCCCATGGAGCAAGGCTGGTTGCTCGTATTGGCGCCCGGGTCCTTCGCTCATTCCTATCTTATCCTGATCCTGGGGCTACCACGGCCTTGGATGCCTCTAAGCTACGCGCTTAACTGCGGCAGTATGCCTGAAGGTCTGGTTTGTAGGATTCTCCGACCGGACTAGGCGCCGTTCCATGGTCTTGGATGGCTGTTATGTGCATGTTGCTGTGATAACGCGGGAACCGAGCGAACGAAATGCCATGGCGAGGGTGGACACGGTCGATAGTCGCGTGCGACCCCTGTGCAACTCTTGTCCAGAGCTTCGGTCTTGGGGGTTGCTTGGGTGTATATGAAGAGGGGCAAGGAACACCTGTCTGGACCGCAGGCACTCAAGTTCATCGCCCGTTGCGTCTACTTGATTCCACCGCCCGCGCATTCGATTTCGCGGTCGTATCTTGTTACCTTTGTTCTACCTGAACTTAGTTCAAGTTCTCTCCAGCACAATGGCGGCCAACTCCAACGTCAAGGCGTCTCTTGAGATCACCAAAGGCGCCACTGCTATGGACCCTATCCCGCTCGATACCAGCTCCACTGGTTCCTTTGATGAGAACACCAACCTCTTGGGTCCATTCCCTACTGAGGAGGAATGGGCGACTCTTCCCAGGGTTGCTGGTCGCATCCCGTGGCAAGCATGGACCGTGGCTGCTGTTGAGTTCGTTGAGCGCTTCAGTTACTACGGTACCAGCGCTGTCTTCGTCAGTAAGTTGATTGATAGCTCGAATGTCTGGGCATACACTGACTTTTACCAGACTTCATCCAAAAGCCATTGCCTCCTGGTTCCACAACCGGTGCTGGTTTCTTGAAGAAGGGCGTCAGTTCCGGTGCTCTGGACATGGGCCAACGTGCCTCCACCGGTCTCACCATGTTTAACCAGTTCTGGTCTTACATCACGCCTCTCGGTGGTGCCTGGCTCGCTGACGAGTACTGGGGACGTTACAAAACCATCCAGTACTCTAATCTTATCGCTCTTATCGGCCACATTATTCTGATTATGTCTGCTATCCCCGCAGTTATCGTCAAGCCTAATGTCGCCATCGGTGTCTTCGCTGTCGGCCTCGTCGTTATGGGTTTCGGAACTGGTGGTTTCAAGAGTAACATCTCCCCGCTCATCGCCGAACAGTACAAGGATCAAAAGGCCTACGTCCGTGTCAGGAAGAATGGACAGAAGGAGATTGTCGACCCCGCCACTACCACTGCGCGTATCTACATCTACTTTTACTTCCTGATCAACTGCGGATCTATCTGCGGTTCCATCGCCATGGTTTACTCAGAGGTATGTGCCGAGTCAGACTGCATTGTGTGACCTCACTAACGCCATCCAGCATTTCGTCGGTTTCTGGCTCTCTTACACGCTACCCACTATCTGCTACCTCCTCTGCCCCATCATTCTCATCACGATGAAGAAGCACTACAAGCTCTCGCCACCCACTGGATCCGTCATGGGCAAGGCGTTCAAGCTCATCGGTCTCGGTATCAAGCAGTCGCCCCGCAAGAACACATTCAAGGACGATGGTTTCTGGGACAGGATCAAGCCTACTGCGCTTCGTGCCAGCGGCCAGACTGTCCCTGACTGGATGACCTTTGACGATGCCTGGGTTGATGAAGTCAAGCGCGGTATCCTCGCTTGCAAGGTCTTCTTGTGGTACCCTCTCTACTGGCTCGCGTACAACCAAATGACCAACAACCTCGTCTCCCAAGCCAACACCATGAACCTCGGAAAGACACCCAACGACATTGTCTCGAAGCTGAACCCCATCTTCATCGTCATCCTTATCCCAATCATGGACTTCTTCGTCTACCCCGCTCTCCGCAAGGCTGGTGTCAACCTCTCGCCCATCAAGAAGATCACTGCCGGTTTCGCTCTTTCCTCGTTCGCCATGGTGTCAGCCTGCGTCATCCAGTACTACATCTACAAGATGTCACCCTGCGGCAGCAACATCAACGCTCTCAGCAAGGAACGCAAAGACTGCAACGCCGACATCTCCGTCTGGGTCCAAGCTTTCCCCTACGGTCTGATCGGTATGTCCGAGATTCTCGCTTCCATCACCAAGCTCGAGTACGCGTACACCAAGGCCCCCAACAACATGAAGTCGACCATCCAGGCCGTTGCCCTCTCTACCTCCGCTGTCTCCGCCGCTCTCGGCCAGGCCTTTGTCAGTCTGTCTGAGGACCCTCTTCTCGTATGGAACTATGGTTCCGTTGCTGTTGTTGCCATGTTCGGTGGTATCGGTTTCTACCTTACCTTCCGCAAGGCAGATGCTCAGGAAGATGCTATGAACAACATGAAGGAGAGCAAGTATGTGGGTGGCCGTGAGGTCGGCGACGTTGAGAATGTGGAGACTCTTAGTGTTAGGGATGAGAAGAACGAGAAGAGTGGGCTGTAGATATCAAAAGTTTGGTAATGGTCATATGATAGTAATGATACGAATGATATTTCAATATTCATCTTCCAGTCTCTGTGTCTATGTGTGATACCATCTCGTTGAAACCCATCTAGTCATCTCGGTCTATAACCGCCCAGCGATGAGCCGTCTCATATCGTCATTATAATCAGTCATGTTTCCTTTTACTGGCAACTCGTCTCTGGGAGCACTACTCGAGGTTAGCTGGGCTGTATCAAAATCGACCAAACAGTTGCAGTATCAAGCAGCCAGGAGGTACTCGATGTCTTTGTAGTCCTCCAAAGCAGTGCTATACTGCAGCCAGGAGGTCACAAAGCTCTTCGAGAACCCGAACCGACATATCATACTACAGTGGGGAGATGTACAACTTACTCAATAATAAACCCCACCACCACTTGGACCTCCACGTCCAAACCCACCCCTATCTCCAATACTGCCAAACGGATTACCCTTACCCGGAGGCGATCCAGACGGCTTCCCCGGCGCCATCTTCCCCTTTCCTTTCCCTCCAGGTGAGCCCACCTCGCCCTCCCCCGGCGGCGGCGGACCAAAAGCCGGGAACATGATGTGCGGATAGTTGTCTGGATGCACACCAGCGGCTCTAGCAGCAGCGATCGCAGCCTCGTGCTGCTGCATGACCTGAAGCGCCGGCGCCGTCGGAGGCAGCATCAGACCGCCGTAACGCTGGTAGTGGCGATACAGGAGGATGTCGACGAGAGAGCGGTTCGCGCGGATCCAGTCCATGGAGGGGTGGCCGAGGTCGGGGTTCGCGATGCGGAGGACGAGTTCGTGAACGAGGGAGGGGTTGCGATCGAAGTCGTCCTGTGGGGGTGGTGTCAGTATGTGTGTTTGATAGGGTGGGGGTGAAGGTGGAGAGGAATTAGAGGAGTGCTTACGATGGTCTCGCTCAGATAGATCGCATTGTTCATGTCCGGGTCGTAGTTGTAATTGGGACGAACAGCACCTCGTGCATCGGTGACTGCATAGGCCCAGCGCATGAAGGGGCTTACAGAACTGCCGTTCCAGCGTTGGAGATGGTTCGGTTCTTCTTCTCGGAGATGATGGACCGTGGGTGGAGCGCGATGGTTTGGAAGGGATGGCTGCTGAGCTTGAGGAGGAGACAGGGGCTCGATTCCAGTGCGTGAGTGAATTCGGCCATGACGAGGAGTGTTGTAAGGGCTGCCAGATGAGGAAGCACCGCCGCGCCTGGAGGGCTGGTTTCCTGATGGGCTAGACATTCTTGTGGATGGTGGAATTGAAGTTGATAAGGTAGAGTTGATAAGAATATATAGAAGTCGGTTCGAATTGGAGGAAGCGAACAAGATATAGTAGAGTGTGGATATTGCCGAAGTTGCCTCAATGTCTATGTTGATAGGAAGAGAGAAGAGGAGGGAAGGCGCAGAGGGAGACGACTTTATATCCCTGTGGGTGGAGCTATTTACGAGGTGAGAGACGCTTGCTTTCCAGCGTGACCTCGTATTTGGTGAGAGAAGATAAAGGGGGAGCGTACTTGTGACGTCTTTGACGCAGTTTGCGTTTGCCTTTGGTCACGTAGATGGAGTATCGCGTTTGTCTTGGTCGCGATGTCGCTCAGGGTAAAACGCGTCATCGCATACTCGGTTAGTACCCTCCTTCACTCTTGTTTTTGAGTGGATGGTTCTCGAATCGGAGGAAAGAGATGTGTAGTGAATGGAGTGGCAAGGCTGTTGCGCCTCGTAGGCCACAGCTCCTGCTTAGAACCTCCTTCTGTATATAGAAGCCCCTGATTATCTCAACATATACTCTACCTCAACTGTCGCTCAACTCTTTCTCCAGGAGAAACTCGAAGTCGGAAGTCGCCAAGATGCTGTCCTTCAATTCTTTTCTGGCTCCTATCATCTTCTTTTTCTTCTTTTCCCTGGTTGTTGTATCTCTTAGAGACAAGAGTCTGTTTGCGCTAGTCAAATCATGGATTCAACCGAAGAAAACGCCTCCGATCGTGGACTTGTTGACTCGATATGCTCCAGTCCAGGATGCCATCTTCGCGCAACTCGACATAGCCGATGTCATTTCGCTCAGTAAGACCACAAAGCCTTTCATGGGCTTCGTGAAGCTGGTGGAGCGCACTCAATTCAACATCAACGACCGGTTGAAGCACTTCGTCACTTCTCCTATCGAGTTTCGCGCTCTCCAAGCCCGACATAATATCCTCATAGGAGGGAATTTCGCGTACGAGCTCATGGCGAGAAAGTCGGTCGTAAAGACTGGCGATAAATATGGGCTGTATAGCCTCCTTGTTCAGAAAGGACCCAACGCTGATGCATTACGCAATTTTCTTGAGAGAGATGGTTACGTACGCCTCCATACTCCTACGCCCGAGAATAGAGAGGTTTCAGTAAGTTCGAAGGAGAATTGCCAGCTCGTGTGTTCCGCGCGTGTCTCGCTAACCTCTCCCAGAAGCTTCGAATAACAATGTGTCGAGTCAGTTCCGATAGGGACTGCAGCGAGATCAATATCGTGGAAACGGAGAAGACTCCGGTCCTTGGAGCCCTAGTGCCCTCAGCAACCTCTCTGAGCAACTTCATTACTTGGAATCGCGTCTACTCGGTTTTTCCATATGAAACATTCATAGAGAAGAGGGCTTATCTCTTACGACACCCGGCAGACGTCACCACTTCCGAATGGGTGGACACGGGATCGTTGGGCCCCGACGTGTTCCCTATGAAACTTGAAGACGCCTTAGTTGAGAAAGCAGAGAATACTCTTTTTTCGCAGCGTCGCGTCGGAGATGCTAGAAGCTGGATCATCGCTCTCAACGTTTCTCAAATACCGTCAACACCATCCTATCCTGATCATTTGGCCGACTCTGCCAGCTTCAGGGTCACCACGCAGAATCGTGGCTCTTTCAAACACTATTTCGTTGACATCTTGATTGTCGCCAGTTTGTCGTTGAAGTATCAGTACCTCCTCCCGCGGCATATGGCAGATGAGCTCGGTTTGTTTTTCAGGAATCTTACAATCGTCTCTTTACATCGCCTACCGGTATCTCTGCAGCCGCAGCAACTGGTCCAAATATTCACCCCACGAACCCGCATCCAAGGTATGGTTGTGCGACTAAGCAGTGATATAGATATGGGTCAAATTGCAGGGTTCACACCACCTGAAGGGTCAGATTGGAAATATCATGATGATGAGATGGTCCGGTATCTGAAGAAGGAGTACCCCGGCCTGAAAGTCGGCTCCGGGCTTTAGATTGACGAGTGTTGCCACCGTTCAGGATGGCCTTAGAATTGTGCGAAATAGGCCAGCTACTGTTGGTAGGACCTGTAAAGTACCGAATTCTCCTGTTCCAGTAGTAGTCAGCAGTTAGACGAAAAAGAACGGTTACATTCATGGAGCAATCCCCTTGCTCCGCATGTTACTCTTGTCTAGTTGGTCTCACATAAGGCGAGTTTCGTTGGATACGGGCGCGCGACGCTGTGGGTGAGTCGTGCTGAGAAGGATTGCGATGGAAATAGTGAGGACACTCCTCGCAGCTGCGAGATGAAGACATGATCGCCAAGGAGCTAACCCGATCCAGCGTCATCGGGTCATATACGACGCAAGCAGAACTCGAACTCTCCCAATTCATCATCTCTCAAGACTCGATTGGCAGATGCGTTGCTGTTAATACATCATGATATGTTGATTGATCTGCGCAAAGCAAGGAGGAGCCCTTCGTGATGTTGGTCAATCATGCTAGTCCGCTCTTGGTTTCCGCCCCAACCGTCTGCGGGCGCACTCTATTGGACTTGGATCGATGCAGGGACAGTGCGACGCGAGAAGATAGTAGTATGGCTGGGGTAACTGAAACCTTGTATCTTGCTTCTTAACGATCTAGTCTTTGCTTGATCACCCGGATACTAAAATGCAGATCTCAGTATGAAAAGAGACCCATGGACTTCACGCAAGCACTACGCCGCATCACAGAAACTTGAGAGCATGGGAGGGGAACAGAAGTGAAGATCACATGAACAACCCAATGGCGAGCCGCATATGCTGAGACCAAAGTTCCGGCGGTTATGCACAGTGGCTGCGCTGCCGTGAAGGCAAGTCGCGAAATTGAGCCCCTTGCAGAGCAAGGAATACATCATAACACAGCAAGGACGAAGAACATACATTGTTGCGACCACTTCCTTTTGTTTTGCCATACACTCCCTTCTCTTCGACTCAAACCTCAACACCATCCGCGAACTCCAATGGCATCCACAAACCGCACCTGCTACAATCGCGACGGCAGCCCAATAACCGATATATCCTACCAACCCTGCCTCAGCGATCCTGACCGCGATTCGTTCTGCTGCGGCACCAACCATCAAGGCGCCGGCCAGTTAAACGTCGCCAATGATGTATGTGAAAGCAACGGCCTATGTCAAAACTACGAAGCTTTCGATGGAACGAATGCGAACGTGAAGTTGTGGTGGCGAAATGGGTGTACGGATCCGACGTGGCAGAGTGCAGAGTGCTTAGGGAGTGTTTGTAATAATAGTACGGTGAGTGGAGTAATCTATGCTGGGCCGTGGTTGATGGTGCTGATGGACTGTAGTGGCAGGACGAGAACGCGCCGGTGAGGAAGTGTGGGGAGAATAGTTGGTGTTGTGGAAATCCGAGCTGTTGTAGTGATGGAACGAAGCGGTTTACCCTGGCGGCGACCGTGGGCGAGACTGCATCTTCGACTCCGTCATCGACACTGGTATCCGCAACATCCGCGCCAACATCAAACGCTTCACCGTTATCGAACGCGAGCACATCAACACCCATCACATACTCATCACCAAGCAACAGCGCGGATCCAGCCTCCTCAAGATCAGACAATTCGACCACGTCGCAGGCGCTCAGTGTTGGTGCACGCGCAGGAATCGGCGTCGGTGCAGGATCGATAGCTATATTGGTATTACTCGTTACTCTGTTAGCATGGAAGCTGAAGAGGAAAAGACGCCAGGAGCAGGCTGCTACCGTAGAGCTGCCGCCCAGCGGTATCGACGAGAAAAATCTGGAAGCGCAACACTATCCTTCGGTGGCGCCAAGCGAACTGTATGGCGGGAATGCAGCCGTAGAAATGGGATGTAGGGAGCCAGCAGAGCTAGCAGGAACGCCGGGACGTCCCTATGGTCGCGATGATCCGAAGGTCGTCCTGCAGCCGTGAGAGTGGCATGGAGTTGTAATCGCATCACTTGATAACTTGCGCACGGCTATCTCACGTCAGTCAGAGTGTAAGCAAGATCAGGGCGCAGAACGTCTAAATGAAACCAATGCATTTCGTTTACAAGCGCAGAATGAAATTGATGAGACCCTAAAATACACGCCGTCAAATGGATCGCAAGTGTACCTCGACCGATGCCATTATTTACCACCTCGCTTCCCAACTTCGAAGCCCTCGTTGTCCGTCCGTTCGAATAATACATGGAGACGTGAGACATGCCGCGCATGTGGGTATTGCGCGTCATATGCGTAGATTGCTGAACGACTTTGCGTATCGATGCCGTTGCTTGAGTGTTGCAGTTTTGTGTTGTCGTATCTGCAATCGAACGTACGTAATCGTCTAGCAGTGAGCGTCGCTAGCCTTGGAGTTCATGAGCAGGGCAACAATGAGTCCGTAAAGACCTGGCATATGTTAGTGCGAGCTTCTTGTTGAGTTTCGAGCGACGTACCCAAAACTTCGGCGAAAATGAGAATCAAGATCATTCCGACGAACAACCTAGGCTGTTGGGCGGTTCCTCGTACACCAGCGTCACCGACGATACCGATGGCGAAACCAGCGGCCATACCGGACAAACCGACGGCGAGACCGGCACCGAGCTGGATGAAGTTGGCGAAGAGCGAAGACTCTTGCGAGAGACCGTTGGAAATCAGGACGGACACGACGAGACCGTAGATACCAATAATACCCGCCATGACGACGGGAATAATGTCTGAACCGTGTTAGCTTCATGCTACACGTTGCGACATCTGGTGAGCGGTTCATCACGTACTCTTGACGATCAGGTCAGGGCGGAGGACACCCATGGCTGACACACCAACACCGGCCTTCGCGGTTCCGTAGGCCGCGCCAAAGCAGGCGAAGACGATAGCTGACGTGCAGCCCATCGCGCCGAAGAAGGGCTAGTTGCTCGTTAGCTATGACGATGGACGGGTCGACGC